CTGCATCAGGTATTGTGACTGTTAATGCAGGGAGGTACGAGCAATGAGAGGAAATAAAATAAATTATCAACTTTCTTGTTTTTGAAACATGAATTTCTTTGACCTCTCATTTAAGAGTTTACATGTTTTGTTTGTGTTTTTTCTGGGTAAATGTATCCCTGTGCCAGGTCACAGCTTCCCTTAACCTGTCTTGGCTATAGCTAAGACGGTCATTATGAAATGTTGTCAAATTAATGTGTTTGGGTTTTAGAGGAATTGACTTCAGCTTTCTAGTAGACCTTGAAGTACTGAAGTTTATGTATCTCTTACTTAAAATAATGGATTTTTGCATAACCCACATATGTTTAAAACACTAATTGAATTTAAATTGTATTTATATATCTGAATTAATAATGTGAGGTTATTATTTATGTTCTTCTGGTAAAAGTTATATCCAGATTCAGATTTAGTGATCAGATGATTCACTAATCATCTAAGCTAAAAAATTGGATAGTGTGAATGAAAACACAGCAACACTAAGAATTTAATTTTAACTGTGTATTTACAATCTAGTAACAAGGGGGAAGAAGGTAAATTACTGCCATTAATAATACATTCAAGAGTACAAAATCTTATTATCTATGAATTATTTTATTATACACTTTAGATACCTGAGTCAAAGTAATACAAATCCTTTTTCATCAAAAAAGACTTGAATTGCAATGTGATACCTTTCAAATCGTGGTTATAATACATATTTAGATGCTTAATATCACTTTAGAATTGCCATATTTCTTCATTTAAAAGAAAACACAGCAACAGAAATGTCTTTGATTAAATTCAGAGAGAGATGATCTCATAGTCAGAAATCTAATCTTGTTATTCTTCTAACATTAAAGAAAGAATATTTCATGAAACTGAGTAAATATTTCTAGTTTACAAACAAGATGAAAAGTCTTTTTCCCCAGGCTACTGAAAGAGAGTACATGAAAGCCAAAAACAATTGCATAAGATCAATGTTAATATTTTGGTAACCAGAGGATGCTGATGTTTAAATTTAAGTTTGAGAGTTTATGCGTAAACATCATGAAGTTCACACAGCTCTAAAAACTCAGATCAAAAGAAGTTCAACATTGAATGAGTACACAGAATAATACTGAAAAAACAGTGCTTTAATTGCCATACTAAAATAGGTTAGCATAGATTTTATTTTCATGGTTGTCATTTTAAGAACATTTTCTATCCCATAGGAGTTTTCTAAAAGCTCAGCATGACTTCAGCTGAACCGGTCTGAAGATGTTCTCTTTGCAATTTATGAAGCAGAATAATTGGTGCATGTCTTTAAGCAATACGTACAGTGGATCTCATCTACATTTAGACATTTAAAAATTTTTTTCACTGACAAAATTAGTGCAAGTTGAACAGGTACCAGAAGTGAAGTAAAAAGCTATGCTGAATCCCAGAGGACACAAAATTGTTGGGAATCATCACATGCCTCCTACTCTATATCTACTTAAAACAAAGAATACTCTTCATGTATAAATACAAAACCCTGAATTTGGCTTTCTTTGTCTTCACTAAGTTTTGGGGTGTTAATGGAAATGTAGCTTTTGACTAGAGATAGTCACAGAATCATTTAAGATCGTTGAGTACAACCAGTACAACCTGAAGTACAGCCTAGAAGAGAGCTACAGAGGGACTTCTCAAAACAGCATTTCGTGATAGGACGAGAGAATGGCTCTAAACTAAAGGAGGGTAGGTTTAGATTAGGTATTAGGAAGAAATTCTTAACTGTGAAGCTGGTGAGGCACTGGAACAGGTTGCCCAGAGAAGCTGATAGCCCATCCCTGCAGTGTTCAAGGCCAGGTAGGATTGAGCTCTGAGGAACCAGGTCTATGGAAAGTGATCTTGTCCATGGCCAAGGGGTTAGAAGTAGATGATTTTTAAGGTCCCTTCAAATCCAAATCATTCTATGACTCTGTGATGATTCTGTGAATTTAAATGAGTGATTTTTGTCAACCTAAATAATTTTGGACTAGAGTACATTTCTGTTAGGTGTATATAGTCTTCAGTTTAAAGTTTGTAATGATGTAGATTTCTAGACCTGGATAGAATTTTTCAAGCCAAAAGGCAAATAAGATATCCTCAGAAGTGTTTTATAAATCTGTGATGTTTTCTGAATTGTTTTTATGTTGAATAAATGAGAGCAAAACCTAAGGTTTAAATAGAAATTAAGTTAATATATTTAATTTTGACATCTTTATTAGTTACTTGGATTTTTAATATAAAATAATTTTATTCAAAAATTCCTTCTAAGTAATTTTAAGACAGAACCTGAAATTTATCATTAAACTGTTTTTTATGAAACAGACTTTATTAAATTTTTTTTTTCAAAGAATAAAAATATTTTTAATGTGCTTGTCTGAAATTAGATTTTATATTTTTAATTGCTTGTTTGTGCTTGCAAATGAGATATTTAAAAATCCAAATTATGTATCCCCACAAGTAAAACTGGGCATTCTTGGACAAAGAGTTATATATTAAGAATAACAAAGTATATGCTTAGTCTCCAAAGTTTACACTGCATTCTTGCCTTCCTCACTAAGGACTCGTATCTAACTAAAGACATACTGTAGTAGTTTCCTACAAAAAAAAAAAAAAAAAAAAAAAAAAAAAAAGAATTTTTAACCAATCAGAAAGCTTAATTCATGTTAATTTCTGTTTAAACATTTTGGTTCACTGATCCATACCCCTCTCCTACAGCTTGGTGAATATCCTGAGAGTTAGAAAGTATCCTGATCTGTCTTCTACTTCAGTAAATCCATTTCTTATAGATATTTTGTTAGTTCCTGTGTAGACTATGGAAAAAGAACATAGTTAAGGGATAAATCTTCAGCTTTCTGGTAAGACAAAGTATTTAAATAAAAAAATAATGGGTGCATCAAGCACAGCATTGCCATCCAGTGGAGGTAGATTGTCCCACTCCTCTCTGCACTGGTGCGTCCTCACCTTGATTCCTGTATGCAGCTTTGCAATAAATATAAAAAAGATCTAAACTCTACTGGAGACTGCCCAAAGAAGGGCCACAAAGATGGTGAAGGATCTAGAGGGGAAACCATATAAGATTTCTTTGATGTGGAGAAGAGGAGATAGAGGGGAGACCTCATTGCAGTTACAACTTCCTTGTGAGGGGAAGAGGAGGGGCAGGCACTGATATCTTTCTCAGTGGTGACCAGTGACAGAACCTAAGGGAATGGCCTGAAGCCAGGCAGGGGAGGTTTAGGTTGGATATTCACCCAGAGGGTAGCTGGGCATTGGAACAGGCTCCCCAGGCAAGTGGTCACAGCACCAAGCATGATAGAGTTCAAGAAGTGTTTGGACAATACTCTCAGGCACATGATGTGATTGTGAATCTTGGGGCTGTCATGTGCAGGGCCAGGAGATGGACTTGGTGATCCTTATGGATTCTTTTCAACTCAGGATATTCTATGATTCCATGATTCTAAAAAAAACGATTCAGCAACTGCTTTGAATTCATAGATGGAATAGCTATTTCTAATTTTCTCTTCAAGGTTTGATTTTAAGATTAATAGGAAAACAATTTAGACCTCTTTTTATCCTGATGAGTAACCTGTTATGTTGTGAAATATGTGCCATACCTTTCTAAACATGCTTGTCAACAATCTGTTCATGACTGCTTTAAGGGTATAAACCTAGTGGATTGACTTCACATATCATAATGTTGTCATTCTATGTCTTAAAATTCCTGTTTGAGTTGGTTTGTCAAGATATACACTTCTGCCAGGATTTAACACTAATAGATTAAACAATATTTGACAGCAGACATTTTGATTGATGTTAAATTATATTGATATTTAATACTATTCTGTGAATTGAATTTTCTTGTTATCTTGAATTGTTCAGATATCATACCTTGGAATTCACTGTGAAATATTTAAATAACAAGAACTTTATAAATATTTAAATAACAAGAACTTTATTTTCATTTGTATCAGATTTACATAATTTCACTACATATATAGCAACAGAGTTTACAGCACCAGAAGTCCTTTGTTGTTCCTTTTTCTACTCAAAGGCAAATTAATTTAAAAAATTTGCTTTAAATTTAATGGCAAAAAAATGTAGCCTTCATTTTCTGATGGGCAGCCATGTGTATAGTATTTTGTAAGACGATGCTATCATGGGTAATTGATATTTCTATTTCCTTTCCTAATATTCATGTTATTCATAAATTTCATAAGAATTGAGTTTTTTATAGTTTTATATTGTTTAAGTAGATTCAAGATCTATAAATTAGGTAATTTAAGTAGCAGATCTCCTAGAGAAGTATCTATGAAGTATAATCCAAAATGTTAATTTATTTTCAGAATAGCTGAATGCAGCTGGGAAAAATGTGACTCTAATTTGAAGTATGAGATTAAGAAAAAATTCCTCAGTTTTATTTGTATTATGTTTTAAAATATATTTTAATATATTTTTATTTTTAAAATATATTTTAAAATATGTTTCAACTGAAATTCATTAACTTTGTCAATAAATTATATACTTTTAATCATATTGTTAATCACCTTAGAAGTGGAATCGTAGATGTGAGAGTTAAGAGATTTTTTCAGCACTAGTACTTCATTACCAGAAAAGTGATCTACATGCAGAATGTTTCCATGGTTAGAATGGAGACTATGGTTTTATAATTTTAACTTCAAATATGCTGTAATTCGGTGCAGTCATGCAATTAAATATGCGTATTTTGTTACCTTCAGCAATGCAGCAATGCAGGCATGGCGGCTCTTACCTTGAAAAGACTTGAAAAGACTTTAGATCCTAAGTAATCTTTGAGGCAGATGCTTCTAGAGGTAGCATTTACCTTTAATTCACTTTCAACTGTAAACATAGGTTTACGGCATAATGCCAAGTATTTTTAAAGCCCTTCTGATACTGATATATAAATTGCTTGCAAATATATTTACCTTATTATTGCATTTGAATTTCTTGATATTCAGAAATTGAGAAAGGAGGTTGTGGAGACCCTGGAATTCCATCATATGGAAAGAGGACTGGCAGCAGTTTTCTGCATGGAGACACACTTACTTTTGAATGTCAAGCAGCTTTTGAACTGGTGGGAGAGAGAACAATTACATGTCAACAAAATAACCAGTGGTCTGGTAACAAACCCAGCTGTGTTTGTAAGAATTATTACACTTTTTTCTGTGTTATTTTCCTGATCTTAGCCTCTTGCTTTTCTTAGAATTTGTGACTAGACAATAGGAAGACATTTCAAAATACCTTGAAGACTATTTCATTCACACTTTTTTTCAGTTGGCTCAGTAGCTCATTTATGGGGAACATCATGTAGGACTGTTTTTAGAATGTTCTTTCCCCTCATTTTGTATTTAATTGAACCACTTAACACTCTTGATGTAAATGTGTGTTGAATTAGACTCTAAATGAGCAATTGCTAATAGCATATAAGTGTCCAAAACGACTCTGTGGCACATACACATTTCATTCTGTCATTGCAAAGCAGCCTGCAGATCCACCTAAGAAAAGATTGGGCTTTTTTTTTTTTTTGTGATATACTAAGAAAGCATGAAAATTTAATGTAAGTAATTTAGGAATATTCAACATAGAAAAAGGTTAGATAAGATCATTAGTTTGTGAATTTTATTTTAAAACATAAAATATATTTGCCATTAAGCTTGTAGATGGATTCAAATAGAGAGGGTTGTTAGTTGGGTTTTGGGGGTGGGGGATTGAGTTCTTTTTGTTTTGTTTTGTTTTTTGCTTTTCTTTGTTATTCTATGGTAAAATAGAGAAACTCTTTCCAGCACACAGGTATATTAGGCTCTTCAGTTCTCCACTTAAATTTTCTTAAGTTTTACATTTCAGTACTGGATTTAACAACCAGAAAAGCCTTAGTGAAGTGTACAGTTCTATTTGGACATGTATGTATTTTGAAGCCATGTTAGTACTGGAGTTAAGCTGAGCAAACCTGCTCTGGACTGCTCTGTTGGCCTTGAAATGCTGAAATGTGTCTAAGCATGTAAAGCTTGGGCACAGAGACAGTGCAGCTGCAATTCTCTTTTAAGAAAGTTGTTTTTCTTCATGGGGCTGTATTGCATTGGATTGATATATTAGTTTCTGTTGACAATAGTGTGGAATATTTTACTGTGCTCCAGTGTTAGATGTGCACATGCCCTATGAAAGAACACAGAATCTACAACATATATTTCTATAAACTGAGTTCAGTTTGGCAGATTTGAAGAGCTAAGTAATGGTTATCCTTTGTGTTTATTAATATTCAGTGAGTATTCCTCTTTCTAGATATACTGTAATTCTGACTAAAGTACCAGTCACAAGCTCATGACTCTGAAATCGGTTAGGAAATGTTTTGATAAACATGGGCCCAAAAGAGTAAAAAAAAAAAGAGGATAACTATGAATAATTTTTGGGTTTGCTCTGTGCTATCAAAGGGAAAATAAGATAAAACAAGTTCATAGTATGTATTCTTAATAGTTCTTAATTGAGTCACTTCCAGATTTCTGCTATTGTTTGCATCAGCATTACCTTCGTATACCACAGACAAAATTGGCCCTTGTGCTTGATTTTTCTGATTGTTAAAACACTTTCATGCACATTCCTTTTGGAAAAAAAATTATTTCAATTTGGAGGTCACATTTTCATTTTGGAACAGACCTACCAATTTTTCCAAATTCGAATACATCAGGCATTACTTTTGCTTTCTTTGTCATTTGCTACATGTGAATCTCTTGCAGGCTTTACTGCAGTTACTTAGGGAAATAAAAACATTTTATATTGGAGCAATGTTCTTACAGTGTTAAATATTTCTAGCTTGCATGTGTAGTAGTTTTGACATTCAGGCTGCAAAAGCCTGAAATAAAGAAATAAAAAAATTATAAAAGAAGCATTTATAATGTTTGTGGATAGTATTTTGAGAATATTATTGTTCTTTCCTTTAGTCTCATGTTTCTTCAACTTCACCACACCATCTGGAATTATTCTTTCTCCAAATTATCCTGAGGAATATGGGAACAATATGAACTGTGTTTGGTTAATTATCTCAGAGCCAGGAAGCAGAATCCATCTGATTTTCAATGACTTTGACGTAGAACCTCAATTTGACTACCTTACAGTCAAAGATGATGGAATTGCAGATTTACCACCTCTTGGCACATTTTCTGGCAATGAGGTCCCTTCTCAATTGGCTAGTAGTGGGCACATAGTAAGACTTGAATTTCAGTCGGATCACTCTACCACTGGAAGAGGATTTAATATCACTTATACAAGTAAGAATTTCTGCTTTTCTTTTATGCTATTTCTTATGTCATCTTTATTCAAAATAATGAAAAAAAGAACATATTTATAACATGGAAGTAAATTGTGATGCTTGTATAATTCACTCTTTTCAACTGTCTTCCCGGTATTCATTGGCTTACCTGAATCCTTATAATTTATTTATTTTAGAAGAATTCCCTTCATTATTTAAGTGCCTTTTTGGTTGCTACTACATAAATGCAGAGCACATAACTAAAGTCCAGATCATTCAGATCTAAGCATCCGGTGCAAGTGCTTTAATATACTTCTCAATGGAACCATTAGAAATAAGTTCACAAAGCTGTAAAGGTTAGATCCTGAATACTGAGATGTTAATCTGAAAAGCACAGAAGTATAAAAAAAACCAACTAGAATTTCACTGCAAATACATAAATCTGGGAACCTGATTTGCTTTATCATTTTTTCTTGCAGTTTGATGGCGTGGTATTTAAGAATACAGACCTCTAAGAATAGAGATCTCTTTTTTGGGTTACACATGATAGTTATCCTCTGTGGTTTTTCTATTGTCTAGAGCATAGCTGGTCTGATATGCAGAAGTCTTTCCTATAAGAGTGAACTAATTTAGAATCATTTTTATCTCTGGTTACAGTTTCTTTAAGAATTTTAAGAATGTACTCTCTCTGATAATGCAATTTCTAAAGTTGCAACTAAAACTTAGTTGCAATTGGCCAACCAGTTCAAAAGTTGTTAAATGTGGACCTACCAGTCACACGCATATAGAGAGCTACTGAAAGCATAAGTCTTTCTCGTTTGGGCAAAAAAGGATAAAAAACCCAGATAGCCCTGTGTTTTGTTTATATGAAAATATATCACTAAACAGTACTCTCAGCTCAAAACTCTAGTAACAACATTGTCATATAGAAAACATTATTACAGTTGTCATAGACCGCTACCTCTCCTAAAAATTTTCTGGTTCATTCAAAGACATTACTTTTATGAAGATTATCTTTTTAGCTCAAGAAATTATCTCCTAAGGTTATAGAAGTTAATTGACAATAAAGTTTTCTTTGAGACCTTCTACACTGTTCCTATGTTGTGTCAATTAAGATAATCAAACAATAGTGTTTGTTCCCAAGGTTAAATTATTTAGAAAGATGCCTCACATAATGGTGGATTTCATTGGTTTCAATCCTCTTTAAGTCTTAGATGCCTAAATTGGTCTTTTGATTTTTATAGGAAAATTTTGTATTTTTTGTCCTTTGAAAAGTAGCAGGGAGAGAAAAGAGGAGGCCATCCTCACTTGTTCTATCACTTGTTATTTGTGAGAAGAGACCAATACCCATCTTGCTACAACTCCTTTCATGTAGTTGTAGGGAGTAAAAAGGGCTCCTCTCAGCCTCCCTTTCTCCAGGTTAAACAATCTCATTTCTCATTGAAATTCCCACTGAAATATTAATCTCCTTCTCAAAAAAACCCAAAACACCAAAAAACAAACAAGCAAACCAAAAAAAAAAAAAAAAAAAAAGAGACAATTTAAAGGGGAAGTTGTTGTTGTTATTATTATTATTATTATTACAATTATTGTTGTTATTATTACTAGTATTAATCCTATGTTTTTATCAGCCTTTGGTCAGAATGAGTGCCATGATCCAGGCATTCCCATAAATGGGAGGCGCTTTGGAGACAGATTCCTTCTGGGAAGTTCTGTTTCCTTTCACTGTGATGATGGATTTGTGAAGACTCAAGGTTCTGAATCCATAACCTGTATTATGCAAGATGGAAACGTAGTATGGAGCTCCACTGTCCCACGTTGTGAAGGTAAGGGCACAATCTTTACTTTGCACCTACAGTTTTGTAGTAAGTATTTAGCTTACTTTTTACATTTTGCACATGGCTGCTTTAGCTGAAGTTATTTGCTCATCTTATTTTAACGCTCTTCCAGTCAAACAAGAGTGCAAAAATAGAAACAAGATAGCTTGCTTCTATGTTCTTGGAATAAATTAACATTCTAAAAATCTGGTTGTGATTGTTTTCAAGTTCTGATTGTCATCATCATTACTCAGTTATGAGTTATAACTGCTATAACAGTTTCGGCTGTAGCATACTGAAGAACATATTATGTGTTATGTACCACATAAAAAGTGAAGTAAAACTTCTATTTAAAAGTCCTTTTTGAAGGTTTACCCCTTTAATTTTCTCAAAATGAAAGTATACCTGAAATTCTTGTATAATATTATAACCTGCAGTACATCTATTCCTATGAAATATAGTGAAAACCAGAGCTATGTTAAATATTCATTATATTACCCCATATTTCCAAGTTAATTTGCTTGTTCTTTCCTAGGTGAATAAGCATAAAAATATTGTTTATACTTATGTTCAAATCTCTCTTTAGAATGAAATATAGTGAGAAAAAACCCCAAAACAAACAACAGGCTGATTCCTTGATGCTTAACAGTCATGGATCCTCAGGCAAGATAGATGAGTGCATTTAATAAATGACTAGAGTATGTTTTCTAAAAGTAATGTTCAAAACTGTATACCTTTTATTAAACAATAGACACGTAGACAGGCACCACATTTAAAGATATTTTTTTGAAAACTAATCCAAACCCTCTAAGTGGTGTAAATATCACACTTCCATTAATTTCAGTGTCATTGCAAAAACTTAAGAGTCTGGATCATATTATTTTCGTATTATTTTTATGTTTTTTGTTATTTGGACAATTTGAGAACTCAGATGCCATAAGACTGTGCATTTCAAAGAAAATTTAGAAATATTGAAAAAAACTCCATGTTAGGATTCTGCTGGAATTAATGTATGTGAACCTAGATGTTGTACTAGCAGGATTTCTTATCCTGATTAAAGAATGTTATATGGTGGAGTAGGCAGGGGTTTTTTTATTCCTAGAGCAAACCCAGCCCATTCTAAAGCAGGGAGTGGCACGTTGGTTTTCATCAAAAGATGTTTTCTCATTTTGAAACTCTATACACAATAGTTAAAGTATTCAATGTAATCTTTGGAATACATGAAGTAACTGATCTACATGAAATGTTATAGTCAGGTGAGGTTCAACAGTCTTCTAACTTTTCTTGTTTCAGATATGACAAAATTTGATTTAAAAAAACACCAGGAAATAAATCTCTTTCTTCATTCAATATACACATGTAAAGTAAATTACATTTTCCTGGCATTTCATCTTCCTTCAGTGACAATTTAGTGTGTGTCTTCTATGAGTTGTGGGCTGCTTTTACTTCCCACTGGAAAAACTTCCTGTAGACCAGTCCAAGTCTTCAGTGAAATCAAGTAACTTCTCTGATTAGGGTGTGGTGTTTTTTTTTTGTTTTTTTTTTTTTTTTTTTTTTTTTTTTTTTTTTTTTTTTTTTTTTTTTTTTTTTTTTTTTTTTTTTTTTTTTTTTTTTTTTTTTTTTTTTTTTTTTTTTTTTTTTTTTTTTTTTTTTTTTTTTTTTTTTTTTTTTTTTTTGTTAAAAACTTTGAATCAAAAGTAAGCATATTAATTTACTACTCACAAATTCATGTTATTATCCAATTCTATATGGCATAAAAGGTATTTTTACGTAGGGAAACAGAAGTGACAAGATTTCCTGCACTGAAATATAGAAATTTCTGATAATGATACCACAGATTACTTGAGGACAACACAAAAGAACTGGGCTTGTCTCAACTGGAGAAGAAAAGGCTCAGGACTTGTGTTGATATGTACCAATATCTGATGGGCTGGTGTAAAGAAGGTGGCACTAGACTCTTCTCAGTGGTGTAGTGACAGGACAAGAGACAGTGAACACAAACTGAAATATCAGAAGTTCTGTCTCAACATAAGAAAAACTGGCATTATGAGAGTAATTGAACATGGAAACAGATTGACCAGAGAGCCCAGAGAGCCTTTGGAGGGAAGGCATGATCTTTACTATGCATGGTCCTGTGCAATCTGCTTTATCAAGCAGGAAATGGACTAGAGGGTTTCCAGACATCCCTTTCAACTTAAACCATTCTATGATTCAATGGAATATTCATACCAATCAGTTCCACTGAACTCAATGATTATTCAAAAAGGTGGAACAGCACAGTGATAATTACTTGGAACAATTTGTCTGATATTTCCATATAAATGTGGAATCATACTAGATCTAAAAAATGATTAGGCTTCTTTTTTTTTAATGATATGATGTGCTTTTCAACAGAAGAAAGGCTGGCATAATCAAGTGTCATCCTCTGTGCGTTAAAATATGTGTAGAGTAATAAGCTATGATAAGATACATTGCAGGGCTAATGATTAAAAAAAAAAAAAACCAAAAAAGTGCTCAAAACATAAAGTAGAAAATTTAGTTGTGTTAGACTATTAAAGCTAATTATATTAAACTTATTTTTCTATGCTTTTTAATTCAATTTTTGTGCGTTCTTTGAATATATCATTATATTAGAAATACTGTGTATGGTACAAGAATACCCTCTTTTTTCTTTCAGCACCATGTGGTGGACATTTGACAGCATCAAGTGGTGTTATCTTACCACCAGGGTGGCCAGGATATTACAAGGACTCACTTAATTGTGAATGGGTAATTGAAGCAAGACCAGGACATTCCATTAAGATCACTTTTGACAGGTGAGAGTCATGAAGTTAAACAAGAAGGTATGAGAATAAATATTTACCTTAATATTGAAGAAGAAAACAAAAAGGAAACCACAGAAAGGAACTTCAATTCAACACTCAGTATTCTTCAAATAGGAAATTAAAGTTTTCTGCTGTATTTATGTTGTCTTTATTTACAACACTGGAGACACTGGAGAGGAACCCTGTGGAAGGAGCTTTGGGGAACTGTATTAATGATAAGTTGAATATGAGTCAAAAGTGTGCCCTGGAAGCCAAAAAAGCCAACCATGTTCTGAGTTGTATCAAGCACCACACACTTAGCTGGTCAAGGGAGGTGATTGTCCCACCCTACACTGCTCTGCTGTGGCATCACCTCAAGTACTGTGTGCAGTTTTGGGTGCCTAAGTGTCAGAAGGACATAAAACAATTAGAGTGTGTGCAGAGGAGAACGACCAAGATGGTGAGAGTTTTCAAAAGCAAGACTTAAAAAGAATGGCTGAGGTCACTTGGTTTGTTCAGCTTGGAGAATGCTGAGGGATGACCTCATGACAGTCTGTAACTTGGTCAGGGGAGCAGTGGAATGGGAGGTACTGATCTCCTCTCTCTGTTGACCAACAATAGGACAATAGCAGATAGAATGAAACTGTGTCAGGGAAAGTTTAGATTGCAGACTAAGAAAAGGTCCTCCACTGAGAGGATGGTCAGTCACTGGAACAGGCTCCCAAGGAAAATGGTCATGGTACTGAGCCTGTCAGAGTTCAATGAGTGTCTGGAACACACCCTTAGTCATATGGTTTAGGTTTAGGTAGTCTTGTGAGAAGCAGGGAGTTGGTGATCCTTATGAGTCTCTTCCAACTTGAGATGCTGTTAAGAATCTGTGATTCCAGTTTAATGTATATTAACATTCTAATATACAAATTCTCAGGAAGGGCAGGGACAGGTGACATTATAGTGGGAGTCTGCTACAGGCCACAAGCAGATAAGACCCTCTTTAGACAGGTAGGAGCAGACCCACATTCACAAGCTGTGGTTCTCATGGGGTCTTCAACCAACACAGTACTTGTTGGAGGGACAATACAGTAGGACATAAGCAATCCAGGAGGTTCCTGGACGCATTAATAACTTCCTTTGTCAGTGAATGAGAAGCCAGTGAGGAGCAGTGCTATGCTGTATCTCAAGGGCAGCCTTGGCCACAGTGACCATCAAGTGGTAGAGTTCAAGATCCAGGGCAGTGAGGAGAGTGCACAGCAAGCTCACTACACTGGACTTCAAGACAGTAGACTTCAGCCTCTTCAGGGATCTAATTGGTAGAGTACCATGGGATAAAGTGGTGGAGGGAAGAAGGGCAAAAGAAAAATGATTAATAGTCAAAGGCCATGTGCTCCAACCTCAGGAGTAATCTGTCCCAACAAAAAGTAAGTCTGTATGGGTAAACGAGATGCTCCTGGACAACTCAAATATAAAAATGAAGCCTACGGAGGGTGAAAAGAGGGGATTAATAGCAGGAATTAGCAGAGGAATGGTCTGAGCAGCCAGAGATCAAATTAGGAAAGCTAAAGCCATTATAGAATTTAGTCTATCCAAGGATATTAAGGGCAACAAGAAAAACTTCTATAGTTACTTTGATGGTAAAAGGAAATCTAGGGAAAATGTGGGCCCTCTCCAGAAGGAAATGGAACAGCAGATTACCCAGAATATAGAGATGTCTGACGTTTTTGCCTCAGCCTTCACTGGCAAGTGCTCCAACCATGCTGCCCACTTCACAAAAGGCAAAGGCAAGGACTGGGAGAATGCAGAACCACTTAGTTCTGAGACCATCTAAGTAACCTGAAGGTGCCCAAGTCCATGGGACCTGATGAGGTGTATCCATGGGACCTGATGATAAGCACTCCTGATTCCTGAGGGAACTGACATTGGAATTCCTTGATGGTGTAAGAAAGCATAGAAAAAATGTTGGATATAGTTTACCTGGGTTTTCAAAATGCAAGTTTTATATCTTGCATTTCCCCCTGCAAAGGGCTATTAAAAGGCTAAGTATCATTTAAATACAAGGAGGGACATTAAAAGAACTTAACAGTCGATAAAAGTCTCACAGGGGAATTCTGGGTGTTCTGCAGAGACCTGTAGTATGCTCAAAATTGTTCAGCGTGTCCAGAAATGATCTTTAAAAAGAGAAAATTAGACTAATAATACTAAGTTATTCAGGATATTAAAAAAAAAAAGGTATAACTGAAGAATAGCTAAAATTTCTTACAAGACTGGATGTCTGGGAAACCAAATTGCCGGTGGGTTAAGTAAATGCAAAGTGAATCACATGAAGAAAAGAATTCTACCTTGAGATATAGAACATTGTGTTTTGAACTTACACTGGTTACTGAGCTACTAAAATTCTGGTAACTGTTTGTCAAGAAGTATGAATGAAAACTAACATATACATTTTGGATTGTGACTAATGACTGGACGGGTAATACGTAAGTACAGGGGCTAGATGGATAACTGCTGACTGAAAGATTTTTTTGCTTTGAATATTAATCAAAAATCATTGAGTAATATATGCAACAAAACTCTTTATTTGAAACCTAGCTAATTAGAATAGTACAATATAGAATTCTTTAGGCCTTTTTAAAATTATTTGTGTACCTTTGAAGAATGTCCTACCTTTTACTAACATAAGTAAGCTAATAAGCATTAAAAGAAATGGAAAATTCAAAAAGTAACTCCTAATTAGGTACTTTTGGTAGTGATGAAGAACTTCAAATAGCAAATTATCTGGATTAATTGTTTTAGTGACAACGCGAGGACTGAAAAAAACCCACAAAAACAACCCATCAACAAACCCAAGCCAATGTGAAAAGCAACTCACTCCCTCAAACCCTCAAAAACAGACAAGTAAATTATAAATTCATTTCTGAGTTTGAGATGAGCAAGAACATACTGGGAATAAGGATCATTGTAATCAGTAACAATTCCTATAAGAAGGGTTTGCAATCCACTGTTCTCATACTGCTCTGCTAAGAAAACTGCAATTGCTGGCTGAGTCTATTCATTACGAGTACCAATAAGGTATTTAAACCAACCTAGCAGTATCTGTATGTTTTCATCATTCTGCTGCAGGGTAAATCAATGTATAATCTCTGTCATGGAAAGGTACTGAAAAACTCTCAAGAACTTTAGTGATGCTCTCTGTGACTGTCTATTTTTTGGTAAATTACATAAAACCAGAGAGCCTTCCAGACACAAGAACTCATGAGTTTATGCAGTTAAATTGTTAAAATATGCTTCTTGAGCTTGTCAGCCTGCATTCCCCCAAATAATTACCAAGCATGGCCAGGAGTTACTGTAGTCAAGCAACCATTCACAATAAGAAATTTGAATAGTATCTTCTTCTTTGAGAGGCTAAAGAATGTATTTAATAATATGGATGTGGGCCATTCCGTACTAGCTGACTTCACTTCCAGAAATGGGTCCTGAAAATGCTTAATGTATTAACAAACCTGCAAGCCCTGTATTCCACTGTCAGAGTAGATAGATAACAGTAAAAACCAATCATGTTGATTTTATCCAGCATATCCAAATAGGGTAGGTAGCACCATAAATCTAGAGAGTTTTCTGTGAGAAGAGTAAGGAATGATATGAAGGGGCCTAAGTCAGTTTCCAAGTAGTTATTAGCTCTGATAGCTAAGCAAAAGCTTTCTGATTTCTGAATGTGCTTTTGTTTTCAGGGAATCATAAGAGAAGAATTAGAGAGACTATTAAATATTTGCTGAAAATGAAGTTGCTGATACTGATATGTCTGGGAAGATGGTTTTAGAAGACCGATGCTGTTTGACCTGTAAAATATAATGGCCTGAATGGGGAACTTGGTCATTCGGTCATCACTTCCTAACAAAGTATAACGTTCATTTACATTGAAGGAATTTTCACATATATTTCCACTTTTCTGAGTGTTTAATAATTTGGAGTTTTCTTTAGTAAAAGAACTCAGGATCTTATCTCTAGACCCACAAAACCTGTCCCATATTGGCAAGACAACTAAGGGCATTCACTTTGAAAAAAGTGTTGTATTGCATAGGGACACTCTGATCCTCTTAGAAGTTGAACTAATAAGCCCCATGGGAATAGAAGAGAAATATCTCAGAACATATGCATTTCTGAAACATGAGAATAAGAATATTGAGTTTGCAGGCAAATATATCTAGACCAGTGTATCTGTGTAATAATACAAACTTCACTGACAGGAAAATTTATGTGTGCATGGTTTAGATGATGCAGCTTCCAGTAGAATCTGATATAAACACAAACTGTTTTGAAAAGCATCAGAGGTAAAAAACTGCCAGGCCAAGTTTCATCTACAGAAAAAGCAGATTTGAGCTGTTTGATTTAAGAACTACTACTAAATGACTGTACACATGAGATGAAATAATGAAATATTATTAAAGATGTTCCTAGGATGTACAACTATTTTTTAACCTGAGGGCAAGAAATTTTGTAGATGGTTATTATGCAATTTTGTTTGAGACAATTTACATTTTTATACTCAGATTCCCCACTAAATATCTTTCTGAAGGCCAGTCATATGGCTGATCTGAAGTATATTGCACCTCTTATTAATTCTATATGATAACAGATATAACAAGGCGAGGAAAAAGATGCATAAAACCTTTCGTAGTTACTATCCTCAGTAATACATGGATGGATTTTTTATATATGATATTCTTGATGAGTTACACATGGATTACATTTCTGACAGTTAAAGAAAATAACACCATTCCTCTACCTACCAGCTGACTTGCATATTCCTTTTCAGATTTCAGACTGAAGTTAATTATGATACTTTGGAAGTCAGAGATGGGCCAGCGAATTCATCACCATTAATTGGAGAATACCATGGAACACAAGCACCCCAGTTTCTTATCAGTACTGGAAATTATATGTATCTGCTGTTCACGACGGACAACAGTCGTTCCAGTGTTGGTTTCCTAATTCACTATGAGAGTAAGTCTGATATTTATCAAATAGATTTTTATTTAATCCTGAAAAAAATATTCAATTTGAAAATGAGCAAATGAATGTGAACAAATAAAATACAGTAATTATATTTGTGTAAGAAAAAATTATGTTTATGCTGTACTGACAGGTAATTCTGAAACTATTCATTTTGGAATTTTTTCCTACATGAGTTCTTCTGTCATTCAGAGTACTTATGGGCCTCATTTAACCAAATGCAAAGTAATTTTAGAAACTTTCCCTCATGAGTAAAGATATATTGTTCTTTTTCAGGGTTTTTTTGGGGATTCCTCTATCATCTCTTAAACTTTCTCGCTTTTTCTGATTTTAATACATTTTTGCAGTGCTGAACAGATTTGGACCTTTTCCATGATGGTTACAAAATACAAATAAATGAATCTCTCCTTGTAAACTGCAGAATCATCATAATAGCATTTTCTTTTAAATTAAATGCATCAAATGATATATATTAAATGGTCTGAAGTAACACTGTTGCTTATATAATAGTACAGCCATTCACTTAATTATTGACTAAAGAGAACTTATGTGTTTACAGCATTTGTGCCAAACACATGACATAATGTTTATAATTTTTGTTCTTATTTGAAAACTAATCTGATGGCAGTAAACTTGCTGTAATGAGCGACCAAGCTTATATTTTATAGCCACATCAAAACTTGGAAATTCTGCATAGCTTCTTTTAATTTTGGCTACAAGATGGTGGTAATGGCTGAATAGATAATATTATGATAAACTGCAAGGGCACTAAATAATGTATTAATATTTCCTTCTATATTAAAATCTGAAATATAGAAGAGATATCATAATTTAATCATGCATCGAGACAGTCATACTACATTGTACACCAGTATGTATTTGATAAACATTACAATTCTCCTACATTATCAGGGAAATTGTTTTGACATCAAGGATCACAAACCTTTGTAAAACCTTTCCTCATTGAGACTATTGAAAATTAGTATATTGAGACTATCTAGAAAATTAGTATTGTGATCTTTCTCAAACAGAATGTTATCAGTAATAAAAAAATATAAAGGTAATCCTTTATTCATAATGTATAAATTTAGGTATTTGTTAAGATTGGTTTCAGAAAAGTAATTTTTAGGCTCACAAATATACAATCCTCAGGGACTTGACAAAGTGTTGAGATTATTCAGACAGCTCACAATTAGTTTTAGCAATGATAACACAGAAACAAAGTATTTCCTTACAATTTTTCATTTAAGGAAAAAATAATTCTTTTAATAGTTTGAATATGAGGAAAAGATTTATAAAATTTTCAGTGGCAGGATGCAGTCAGTGAAAAAAGATTTTGAATATTCAATAAATTCTTTTTGTATCAACAGTCCATTTTACTCTGACTAAGAAGAAAAAGCACAGAGCCTGAATAAAAAAGGCAGTTTTTTTGAAAGTGACCTTGAAAAACATAGTTTATGACTGTTAAGAAATGAAAGAATGAAGCAACAGAGTTGTGATTAAATCAATGATTTTTGAAAATCTAATCTTTACTAAATTTGACATATTGGTAGGTGAATGTCCTTATGCCTTTGTGAGTGAACTCTGAAAGTCATTTATTAAATAAATTGTATTAAAACCCAACAGAAAACTGTTAATTGGTTTTTGTTTGATTTTTTGGGGGGTTGTTTTTTTATTTTGTTTTATTGGTTTGGTTTGGTTGGTTGGTTTGGCTTTTTGGAAAATCCCTTTTGATGATGTAACCCAAAAATTAATAATGTAAATATTGGATATATTCAAACTTTGCTATAGATGGTAATCAAAGAATAACACAGATCTCTTAGGATAAAGCAAAAAAATCTAATGTATGCATTTAGTTTCAAGAACAAGTAAGACAATAACAAAAATATCCGTAAATATATTCAAATAAGGGAAAAATAATAATAACAACTACTTTACAAAAATTGAATCAAACATCAGCTGTCACAGGGAAGACTTAACATTTTGTTCCCGTTTTGCAACTTCTGTGGAAAAACTTAACTTTTACCACATACTTAACACAATTAAGTAAACATTTACAGGGTAAGAGTACAGCATATAGAGAAAGGATACTGCACAATATTGAAATAATGAAATATATTTTATTCATCAGGAACTGTTGAAATTTCCTGTGCTATATGCAGAGACAAAGCAGAAGCACCAATCCACTGAAAATTATGTATGAAAATTCAAACTTATAAGGAAGTTTAAAAAAAAAATCCAGAAGGGCACACGCTTATTGGAGCAAGGATAGAGAGGAAAAAAGAAAATATGAGGACCAGAAAGGTCAAGGACATTAGTTTTATCATCAGTCTTGAAAGATACTAGTTTCAAGCTGATAAACAAAATGATAAGAAATGAATGATTCATATTCGATAAAAACAGATTATGTCAAACCACTCCAATTTCTTTCTTGACAGGTTAACTGGTTTTATAGATTGGGAAATGGAAAAGAAAGTTCTGTACTGACATTCATAAGGCTTTTAGAATTTTTCCAGATAAAACATAGACATTTATATGAAATTATTACAGGTACGAGCACTTCAGTGATCACTGGAAAAAATTTCCCAGAGATATTGTGGAATCTTGATCCTTGGAGATACTAAAAATGCATCCAGACATGGATCCACCCAGGCAACCAGCTTTGGGTGTCCCTGCTTGTGCAGGGGAGTTGGACTAGATGACCTCCAACAGTTCCTTCCGCACTGCATTGTTATTTGATTCTGTGATGCTGTGAAAAATTTTGTAAAAGAGCAACCAGCATTTATTAGTAGATCACTAACTCAAATTTGTAACGATTCTGCTGTGATCTGGCTTAGTTCCATAAGCCTCTTGTATTTTATTAATGATTTTGATAATATAAGAACAATTACGATTTCTGAGAATGATTCCAACTTAAAATTAGAGCAAGCACTATGAGAAGGTTAGGATTCAAAACAAGTTAGATGGACTGAAGGAACTGTCTGAAACAAAAGCAATTAAATTCTATAAAGAAACATGCTAAGCCTCAGTGGGGAAGAAATATCCTGCACAAATACAAAATAGAAGTACAGTAGGAAAAGATATGTGTTTTACACGTAACTTAAATAATCTAGAGAAAAATTTAGTACTATTTAAAAATCAAATCTTCTGGACATTGTATTTAACCATAAAAAAACTTAGTAAGTTCAGAAAATGCCTTTTTTTTGGGGGAAGTGTGGGGGGGAGCGGGACTATTTTATCTAGGACTTCTTCAAAAGTTATTTCACTTCACTTGATGACCAGGGAGAATCATATGCAGTTTGGGACAGTAGCAGGTTGTTAACGTGGAAATTATGACACATAAGGAGTCATCGGAAGATTTTTACTTGTTTAGCCTTGAGAAAGTACAACTTGGCAGGCAGAAGAGAAGGCATGATAATAGTGTCATGTTTCTAGTATCTAAGAATTGCAGCTAGTCCTGGAGTTCAGTCTACTGCATGTGCTCCCTCTCAATCAACTCTTTATAATAATTTTCCAACTAAATTTATCGCTGTTATGCCAGAATTTCTGGTATATATTGCCTTTTTGTAGTCAAGACTTCAGATACTGTCCATTATTGAGCTTATCTTATGTTAGCTTCTATTAAGAAAAAACAAACCAAATCTTCATCCAAACAAGTAAAGAAAAATTATTTGTTTTCATCTATGTTCAGGGTTGCTAAAACTTACATACAGAATATTTTCCCCTGGGAACGATCCTGAACTGAGTTTTTTTATTTATTCAGCACCACATTTTGAATCAGAAGTTGATAGATTTGTTATAGCTTTTGGTCCTCTTGCAGAAATCTGAAACAACATAGTGAATGTAATCTAGAGTTATAATTTCAAAAAGAAACTGATGAGTTTACCTGTTATATGTGACTCAGAATGCTAAAGCAGTTGATGTGTTCAGACAGGGGTGGGAGGCTGTCGTAAGAGGAAGGAAATTTAACAGCACTACTGTGGATGTCCATTTACACTAAAACTTCAAATTACAAAGTATGATTTGTCTGAAAAAAATTAATATATATCTATCAAAGTTAAATTTTCATACACATGAAATTATTTAGGGCACATAGAGTACAGAATATTATAGACTTAAAAGGGTTCTTTGAGACTATAGTAGGCAATTTCAGCCACGCGAAGGGAATCTAAAAATGCACTCTGTTAGCTAACATGGTACATTTGCATTAAGGGCATGCAGTCAAGTCTAGAAGAAACTTATTCATCTAGAATTTAAGTATGTCAGGGTTACCTCATGAAAACTAGATCATAAGCTTTCAAATCTGAATTCTAAGTGAGGTATAAGAAGAGCTGGAGGGTATGGGGAATATTTTGCTGTGAGAGCTAGAGTCATTATTTATGATATGTTTATTTGTAGTCCTGCTTCCAACTCTCATATGTATAATTCTAAACCCTTCACTTTATGCCCTGATAAATCAATCTTTTCCTTAGTTTCGAACTCCTCCTACTTTGTTCCTAAGGCTATGTGGTAGTCCTGGATAAATAGAGCAGGGTTGAAGCAGTAAACTGAGAGTACAACTTCCACCGAAACAATTATAGATGTGCAGGCAGCTGAGAGGACTAGGACCTCCAGGATGTGTTTAGGGGGCTAAGAAGCTAGGAAATGCATAACATCCTGCAATACAGAATTTTGTACTGTCAACAGTTGGTTTTACACAAGGAACTTCTTTGGCAAAAAGTACACTCTAAAATATCATGCTAAAAATTCTGGTCACCTATGAGAAAGCACATAAAATCTTTGAAGACCTCAGGTGAACTACTCTTGCTCAAGGCTCTCACCGCATCTATGAATGATGATATCATTCTTATGAAATCATACTGCCAAAATACTAAAATTAGTGTGACAATTAATGTGAAAATACTTAAGTAAATGAAATGGATGCCACAGCTTTGAGGTATCTATGTCTAAATTTGATATGAAAAACTGACAAGAAATTCTAAACTCAGAAGTCCAGTATTATTTAAACAGAGACTCAACAAATAATTTTTCTAAATAAAGTAGATCAAAATTGCCTCAATAAAAAGTGTTTACAATGCTTCCCCTTCCCCACTCCCCACCATATGATTCCTATTCCTTCATTTGAAAGTTTTTTCACAAGTCAGTGGCTTTTTGGATTGCAAACACAGCATCCTCTATGTCTTCCAGTTGTCTCAGTGTCTTGACTATGTTTGGTAGCTGCTGTTTTCATCCAGCTTTTGGGGGGGGGGGGGGTGTTGTTTTTGTTTTTGTTTTTCTTTTTTCTTTTACTGCAGGCTTCTGGTTGCTGGTTGCAACACTATAATAACTATAATCTGTAATCTTTTTACCTACCACAGCCAGTATCTTCAAGGTTTTGCTCTGGACGTGTTCATCTTCTCACAAAAGAAGGAACAGCATCCCCCATCCCTCCCAAGCGTCAACAGGTTCTGCCTCAGTCATTCTCGTTTCAGGAACACAACACATTGTATCAGTGTAGGAGGCAAGGGTTTGGTTCAGTGGGAGCTGCAGGAGTGGCCTTTTTTGAGGAGAGGCTAGGGCTGCTCTGTGCTGGACACAGATGGTTCCAGCTGGCTCCAGTGGACCCACCTCAGTACACAACCTGTCAGTCAAGCTGGTGGTACCTCTGTGACAAAAGATTTCAGACAGGACGAAAGGCTGTATGGGTGAGTGAGGAGTGAAGAAAAAAAAGTGTGAGAAACAATCCTACAAACACCAAGGTCAGAGAAAACAGTGCTTCAGGCAGACAGTCCTCTGTAGCCCACGGAAGAGACCACAGTGGGGCAGATATCCACACTGCAGTATGTGGTGGGTGTCATTTCAGGAGCAGGTAGATATTCCCTGTTATAAGTAATATGAAACTGAGTTGAAATATAGTAATAAAAATTTATTGAAGATTTATAGAAAATGCAGATAAGGAAAACAGCATGCTGGGTGGCTGGAGAGACCCCTGCTCCACTCACGGTGCGCAAGCGCAGTAAGCAAAACCAGTAACTTTTATTCCCTTATCAGTTTCCCTCCCATAGCCACTTGTTATCCTTCTCTTGGATTCGAGTTTGCAGGTCTGGTTCTGGTTGGTTTCTCTGCAAGTCTGTTTTAGTTGGCAGGTGCTTTCCCTTCCATAGTTTTAATTAGTTTTTAGTCCTTGAGGCCTGGTGTGTTAGGTATTTCCAGATGTCCATCTTGGATACTCTGTATCATTTTCGTTCTTGACCCTTCGATTCTTGTCCTTCCCTTCGTTACTTTATGCATGCTATGGGACAATGAGCTTTTTATAAAAGTAAGATTCAGCAAGGCATAATAATTTGTCTTTCCAGCTTGAGAATTGTAAACTACATGATCATCAACTTAGAGTGCTGACAGATTAAAGAACTTACAGTCTAATAGCATATATATGTATATAAGAATATAACATGCAATACAATTAATGAGTAAGCTACTACTACTAATTTGATGAGTAAATTTAAACTACTACTACCAATTTATTACATTCCCTGAAGGACGTTGCAGTACATGCAGGCCCATGCAGGGTTATCCAGAATGACTGCAGCCTAAGGGAAGGAGCCACCCTTAGATCAGGGAAAAGTGTGAGGAGGAAGAAGCAGCAGATAGGAGCTGTTATGGACAGGTATTATGGACTGATCACAATCCCCATTCCCCATCCCTCTTGGGGAGGGTTGGGGAAGAAGAGAATCTTCAAATGGAGGAGTGAAGTTAAGCCTAGGAAGGAGGTTGTGGTGGGTTAACCTTGGCTAGATGCTAGGTGCCCATATCTTAAAAACACCTTCCCACTAACCCTCCCTTCTTCCCAACCTCAACTGAATTTTCAATTTTATCTATCTCCTACTTCTGAGAGGTGGAGGACCATGGGGAATGAGGGTTGTGGTCAGTTCATCACACATTGTCTTTGCTGCTTCTCTTTCCCTGTATCCTTCCCATGCTTAGCACTGAGTTCCTCCCACAGGAGACAATCCTCCCTGAACTTTTCCAGTGTGAGTGCTTCCCACAGGCTACAGTTCTTCACAAACTGGTCCAGCATAGGTTTCTTCCACAGCGTTCAATCCTTCACTAACTTCACTAACAGACTGCTCCAGTGTGGGTCCCCTGCAGGATCACAAGTCCTGTCCTGCCAGAAAATCTGCTCCAGCATGAGGTCCTGTCTCCACATATCCTCAGGTCCTGCCCGGAGCCTGCTCCAGTGCGAACTTTAAATAGGGTCACAGCCCTCTGGGCATCCACCTGCTTCAGTGTGGGGTTGTCCCACAGTGATGCATCCTGGCTCTCTGTGGGCTGCAGGGGGATAATCGGCCTTAGCACGGGCTTCACCACAGATTGCAGGGGAATCTCTGCTTCCACACCTGGAGCACTCCCTCCCTCTCCTTCTTTGCTGACCTTGGTATCTCATAGTTTTGCTCTCACATATTCTCCCTCTTCTCTATGGCTGCTGTTGCTCTGCAGAAATTGTTTTTGCCCTTCTTTACTGTGTTTTCCCAGAGGTGCTACTACCATCTCTGATGGCCTCAGCTTTGGCTCAGCAGTAGGAGCATCTTGGAGCCAAGTGACATTGGCTCTGTTGGAGCTGGGGGAAGCTTCTGGCAGCTTCTCACAGAAGCCACCCCTATAGCTACACCTCATTACTAACACTTGGCCATACAAACCTAATAAAGGGGTTAGGAGGTGAGGAGGTGTTTTGGCTTTTGTCTTTGTTTCTTACCATTCCAGTCTATTTTTAATTGACTATGCATTAAATTAAATCTCCTCAAATTAAGTCTGTTTTGACTGTGATGGCAACTATTAAGTGATCTCTTTGTCATTCTCTTAGACCATGAGCTTCTTCATATTATTTTTTATCTTATTTTCCCCCCCTGGGTAATGAGAGAGCAGGTGAGTGGTGGACTGGCAGCTAACCAAGGTCAACCCAGCATACTTAGCAACAGAAAAGAAAAGAGATTCCTGTCATCCCAATAGAGAGTCTTTATTTGTTTCCCTCGTGTATACATTACATGATTATATGATTAAATTCCACAATTGTTTGCTATCACTATAAGCATAATGGATAATGCTCAGTTAATGAGCCTTCATTTGATAATTTCAGAGGTTTTTTTCTTCCTCACTGAATAGCTCCAGGTTTATTTACCAAACACTATTCAATCTCTCTTACTAGAGACTCCTTTCTATCAGATAAGAGTTATACAATTGTGTAAGCTATATTATTTGTTTTTCTATTTTTGATGCATAGGATAATGTCTATAAAAATTAACAAGTAGTTTTTTGAGTTCTTCAATTGCAGTTTTTTGACATTGCTTTTTGCTATATCAAAATACTATGATCGAAGAAAATTGCATTGTCCTGCAGCATCAGAAACTGAATAGATGAAATGAAATAATCAAATATTGTTTATATGCTAGCAAAATTTGTATTCATATTTTGTTTTAATATCTTCCTATAGTTTCAAATGACCAGTCCTTTTGTGTCTGTTTTTTGTTTTATTGATTGATAAAATTTACTTTAAAGCTCCAATCTTTTTCTACTTCATTTGGATTTCTCTATTCCACGAAACTGAAAATTGGAAAATGGTGCTCTAAGTCAATGACAACAAGAGAAACTAGAGAAAGTGCTTTATATCCCACATCAGTTCTCAGGCAATGCTAACTAGTATCTTTTGAAGGCTCTTTCTTCCTCCTGTCTTCCTCATTTTGTGTTTTGTTTGGGGTTTTTTTCTGTGTACTGTCTGAAAAACAAAGGGGTAAAAACCAAATTAAATCTGTGTGTTTCAGGTGTTACTCTGGAATCAGATTCCTGCCTTGACCCAGGGATTCCTGTGAATGGCCATCGCCATGGTAACAACTTTAATATCCGCTCCACAGTAACTTTTAGCTGCGATCCAGGATATACACTGAGTGATGAAGAACCACTCATATGTGAAAGAAACCATCAGTGGAATCATGCATTACCCAGCTGTGATGGTAAGTGTCAAGCTCTTCAGATGGTAACTTTTAAGTCCACAAAAGTTAATCTCCTATTTTTCCAATCTAATTAAGCTTGTCATTGCTACTACCTCCCTTAAACTGCACCAAGATCCATGCTTTTAAAAAAATATTGTACTGTTATTAAAAGACATAGTTTGCTTCTCTTTATCAACTTTCAGTCAAGTACTGAAAAAACCCAGACATGTATTAACAAATAGAAAAATTAGAATTCTTCCAGGGTGCCATTGTTGAGCTGTGAATGAAAGTGGAGCCATACAGCTAATGATTTCAAAGAAAAGCCAATAAACTTAATTTATATTTTAAATTTGGAATATTGAATACCAAAATGGTTGCTCAAAATTTAGGATACTCAATACTAAAAGAGATGATGATCAGTCTATGTAATTAATTTTCTTAATATACTTTTGTTTTGAAATTTTTGTTAATTTATTAATGGTTTTAGGGGGTATACAGTATCAAACTGTCTATAGCTTCCATGAAACATTTTTTAAAATTGTAGAATCATAGAATTACCTGGGTTGGAAGAGACCTTCAAGATCATCAAGTCAAACCCTTGATCCAACCCCACTGTGATTACTAGATCATGGCACTCAGTGCCGCATCCAGCCTCATCTTAAAAACCTCCAGGGACAGTGAACCCACCACCTCTCTGGGCAGGCCATTCCAATGCCTGATCACTCTCTCTGTAAAGAACTTCTTTCTAATATCCAACCTAAACCTCTCCTGGCAGAGCTTAAGCCTATGCCCATTTTTAAAATGCTGAACTCCTCTCATGGTTTAAACCCAGCCAACAACCAAACCCCACGCAGCTGCTCACTCACTCCTCTACCAGCAGGGAGAGAATTGGAAGGGTAAAAGTTATTGGATATTGAGATAAAGATAGTTTAATAGAAAAAGCCAAAGCCATGCACCCAAGCAAAGCAAAACAAGAAACAAATTCACTGCTTCCCAAGTGCAGGCAGGTGTTCAGCTATCTCCAGGAGAGCAGGGCCCCATCACGTGTAACAGTTACTTGGGAAGATAAACACTGTCACTTTGAACTTCTCCCCCTTCTTCCTTTTTCCGCCCACTTTATACTCTAAGCATGATGCCATATGGTGTAGGATATTCCTTGGATCAGTTTCAGTCACCTGTCCCAGCTTTGTCTCTGCCCAACCTCCCACGCAACATCCACCTCCTCACCAGTGTGGCACAATGTGAAGCAGAAAAGGCCTTGCATCTGTGTAAGCCCTGCTCAGCAATAACAAAAACACCCCTGTATTATTAACTGGCCTCTCAGCACAAATGCAAAACACAGCCCCATACCAGCCACTGTGAAGAAAATTAACTCTACTCCAGCCAAAACCAGCACAACTATCCTAGCAAATATTTCTTTGCTCTTTTTTATAATTGCATTTTTTTGCTATGTTCTTTTTCTGTGAACCACTGAATCAACTTATTTTTTGCATGGAATGCTTGTATTTTTGCTATAAAAACCCTCTTATAGAAATCAGAACAACAGCCAACAAAGACTCGTTTTAGTGAATTACTTACATCAGTGAATTTTTAACTTCCTTTTCAGGTCCAAGGTTTTCTTGGATTACAGTGGAATGTCAGAGAACAAACTTAGAGTTAGATTAACAAAGTACTTCAATTTCTCACTCTGTTTTAAACTGTTTTGTTAAATCTGAGCACTACTCTTCTCCAGCTTCTAATTCTCACTGCAGGCTTATGCCCCATGCAGAAAATATATAAGCTACTAAAAGATTTTTATAATAGTTATTTAATGTAGAATTCAAACTCACCTTGTAATCACTGCAACTTATTTCTCCTTTAAAATTGCAGAAAAAAATACGTTTTTTAGAATTTTTCCTTTTGCTTCTTTTGCTTGTTTGCTTTGCTGCACTGGATTGAAGAACACTATTGTAGGAATCTTAACTTAGACTAATATCTCATTCTTTATCTATTTACTTTGTACTAAAATGTGTGGATGTATTTTTGAGTTAAAACACCAATATTTATCTCTTTTTTTGTGTGTGAATGTTGAACTACAGGAAGATCTAGTTAATTTTCACTCATTGAAAGAGTCTCCTTATTTCCCAGGTCCTTCACCCACTTCCAGTGTGAATGTATAAGAGAAATTTTCAAACCTTTCTGGAATATGTCCTCTAGGCAAGCAACATACAAGGATTACACAGTCTCTTCTTTTTTTCCTCATATATTCAACTACATTGTATTAACTAGTCTAAAAAGACAAAATAAAACTTGTTCTGTTATGTAATCATTCTGTTGGTGTATTTGCCTTTTGAGGATCAAAAAGTTGTGACCCAAATTTTTGGCATGTGACAGATTTAACTGAGGTTGAAATGAGTATTTTGCAGTAATTTGCAGACTATTGATGTTCTTAAAATTGCAACTTCAGAAATTAAATCAGCACAATAGTTGCCTCTGGGAAAAACACATTGCTTTGTTTCATGCCAACAAAGAAGAAATAGAACTGCATACAGAGATACAGTGGCTAAGGTTCCCTCTAAGTAATGTGTCATTCTCAAAATATGTTAATGTCAAGTTAGAGCATGAAAATAATTTTTGAGGGAGAGCTAAATTAAAATGGATAAATTACATATTCTTAATTTAATCTATAAAATATGTAAATTATTTTGAAATATTTAATATTTACTTTAGGGACTGCACAGTTAACTATTTTTCTTCCTTCTATGATGTTTACAGAATAAGATGGATTTTGAATGAATGTGCTTTGTTCATTTATGGTACTATGAATGTGATTTCTGTAATTATGTCATTTATTACCAAGTACTGTTATCAACCATATATTTACTGCTGGTTTCACCAAGCATATTCTGCATATTCATATTTATATGCAGAAATGCATAAATGCAGGTAAAACCAGGCTAGAAACATTTCTTTTTCTTCTACTTATTTATAAATATATATATATAATACCTAAATTCATAACAACCTTAAAAACTTAAACAAAAACCTCATAATTCCAGCATGTTTTGTCTATATGTATCTAATATCCATATCTAATATGTATATATTATATGTATATCTAATATTTATCTATCTATCTAAAATATACATTACATACTGCAAGTTTAGTGAACATTTTGTCATGTATATTTACCATCTAGTTTATGGCAAAGTGTATCACTCTAAGTGAGGAAGACAAAAAAGCATCTTAATGTTGTTGTTTTATTGTTTAAATATTTAGTACATTAAAATTTAAAAAATCCAACAACATAAAAACCAGACAGGCACAGATGAGTAAAAAGCATAGTCATGCTGTATTTATAAGATCTGTGAGCAATTCAGCATGCAAATCTTAAACTTTAATTAATTTGCCATGCAAATTTGAACAGCATAGTTAAGCAGATTCTAGTATGCATAAAATGTTTCCTAGTTCTTGTGTCTTCCAAAATATTCGGTTTCAAATAAATTACTTGTAATGGAACAATCTGAATCTTTGAAAGAGAGGAAAATGGACTTTTTTTCCCTGAACATCTCAATAGATGTCAGAGACAACCTTTTATTATTTGAAAACCATAAACCTTTTTACTTAAGTATTTGTTTAAAAATGCAGTTAAATTTTTACCTTTCTAAATCTTTAGTGCAAGAAAAGTTGCAGCAAGGTATTTCTGACTTGACAAAAAAAGAATCTTGCTTTGTACATACTACTAAAATAGGAGTTAATACTTGCAATACTCTTGAATAAATTTATACTTATTTTTATATTCTAGTAACTAACAGGAGAGGCTGTAGATGAAAAATAAACTCACTTTCAAAGACTAATGTAGGAATACATAAACAGTTGTCAAACATGAATGTTATGGCTTTGGATTAATTAACTTCTTTTTTAACACTTATGCCTATTTCTAATTTTAAGGGTAGCTCAAAAATGAACTTTTTATTTATTTTTTTTTTAAATTGAAATCCAGGATTTCTGTATGACTTCTTTTGCTTCCTCCCTTTCCCCCTCTCCCTCCCCCCCCTCTTCTTAAGCTTTATGTGGTGGATATATCCATGGGAAGAGTGGAACTGTTCTTTCCCCAGGTTTTCCTGACTTTTACCCAAACTCTTTAAACTGCACTTGGACTATTGAAGTGTCTCATGGCAAGGGTAAGCATCTAATATGAATCACATATGCATATTAAATGTCTATATTTAAAAAATGCAGACACACATAGACAAAAAATGTCTTTTATAAGTTAAACCAGCACTTTTTGCCATTCCTTTGAAGAAGAAATCTAATTTCTCAAAACAAATATCTTCAAATATGGTATTTCCAGATTGTGTTTATTTTTCAAAAGCAACATTCTTATACGAGTTACTAGAGGAAATGGGATTTTGTCTCAGAAAAATGGAAAAGAATAGAAGTAAAATATGTGAAAATAATAGCTATTTGTTAAATAGCACTAGATTTTTTCCAGTCAAAGATGTTAGGACCTTGTTCATAGCTCTTCACCATTACTAAGCATAAAGAAACAGATTTGACTGGTGTATTCATACTTAAATCATTAGGGCCAAAAATTAGATATCCTTATGTTATATGTACAGTAGAGTCATATTTGAATGCGTAGCTAACCTTGTCAGCTTATCCATTAGGGAAATGTGTACAATAACCTAAGGAAAAAAAAAACAGAAACTACTAAAAATTTCTTATATACCATTAAATCAAAACATAATAAAAAATTTGCTAAGAAGTGTATTGGAAGTTTTTACTGTTTAAAATCTCCTTACAGACTGGATTTTGTGTTTATAACTCATATGACATTTTAAATGTGAAATATATATGAGAAGACTTTCTAAGAATGTTATTCCTCACAGTAATTTTATTGTTATCTATTATATTTTAAAATTTATTGTATTTGAAATCTATTCTACTTGAAAACCAAACTGTAAGTCAAAATGTAACTAACTGCTGAGATGGAAGATGGCAAATGGAAGAACAGTCATGACTTCAGTAAGAGACTGGTCCCAGAAAATATGAAACTGTATATATGTAAGACTGTACATAAAATTTGTATACGCTTTGTCCTTGTTTATGGGTACTTCCTTGAAGTTTAGAATAAAAGAAGAGAATCAATGCAAAAATAAAACATAAATACAAAATTTTAGCCAAGTATGTCTCCTAGTCTAATTTTGAGGTCATGGTAGAGATTACTAATAAAAGAGACATACAGAACCTTGAATAAAACCATAGTCTAATAAGACTAAGCAATACAGATTTGGATTTTCATACTGCTGTATACAAATTACACTGAATGCCCTCAATTCTGTTATGGGAACTATTGATTTAAAGTGAGCTAAACAAGCATCCACTCTGCACATATTGATTGGTTGAGCTCAAGTGCTTTCTGCAAGCTTTGTTTTCAGAATCAAGTTTTGAATCCATGCAAAACCTTTTCTAAAACTGTTTCCATGTAATGTAAGAATTGCTTTCTATGTCAAGTATGTATGAATTAAAAAACCCTTCCTACTAAATACTTTTCTTTCCCCCCTTTCTGATATTTTTAAAGGTGTACACCTGGTTTTTCACACCTTTCACCTTGAGAGCTCTCATGACTATTTGCTCATCACTGAAGATGGCAGCTTCACAGAACCAGTAGCCAGGTTAACTGGCTCAGTCTTACCCCCTGCAATTAAAGCTGGTCTCTTTGGAAATTTTACTGCACAGCTTCGATTTATATCTGATTTTTCAATTTCTTATGAAGGTTTCAACATAACATTTTCAGGTAATGAATTCCATTTTTCTAAGTGTTCTGAAACTGTTCCAGAGAATTTTTTTACCTATAGATAACAGAAACACAGTGAATCACCAGTAAAAAAAAAAAAGTTAATCAAAACTCTACAGTCTCTATCACAAAAAACTGGCTAAGGTTTATAAAAGCGACCAAGAGATTGAGCAGGATTTTGGTGAAGTCACTGTTTTAAGAAGTTTTTCCTGTTCTCAAAGGACCATCAAATATGTGAAAAGGAAGTTTGAAGGAAAATTAAGGGGAAAAAGTTACAGAGACAGAAGGTACTACTACAGAGATAGAAGGTCTTACTAAAAGAGGTATTGAAACTTTAAAAAAGCAGTGGTGTGCCAACTGCGATTCACAAAGTTACATTCAAAAAATTGAAGACTGATTTTGGAATAGCAAATGTTTACATAAAGATAAGATTAAATAAAATATTTATTAGATGTTGATGTATTTTCACAAATTACCTCTTTAAGATACTTGAAACATTTAAGTTACTGCCTCTTAATTACAGTCTTCTAAAACTAGATGACATCTAAAATACACTTCTTAATAATTTTCTTTGCCTATCTCTATTACTGGAAAGTAGAATATTTATGGATTTGGATATGAATGAATCAGGTGCTTGTTGAGATGCACATGCACATGGGTATTCTGTGGAAGAAGTACAAAAGGAACTCATATCCAACTCCTTGAAAACCAGTAAGTTTTGTTGACATCTGGCAATGTTTACAGATGAACATGCTATGTATGAATAATATATCTCATTTAACCTGTTTATTGAAAAAAGGAAAAAGCTCTATCTCTCTGATTAGAGCAATAGTGTTAGATTTACTCCTATCAAATGCTGAAATGCATTCAGTCTGGATACTTTGGACTTACCAAATCAGAAGTCAGCAGTTTTACAGGTTTGAAATGTAAATACAAGTGCTAAATTATATCTCTGATAGTTTGATGATCAAAAAACCAAAATGGTAGATCACTAGTCAACTTGTAGAAATACACACAAAATATTGTGGATGCAAGGGGGAAAACTGTACAGTAACAAAAGATGCAGATCGCAGAACTTTTCAAACACAGTCAAAGGTTTATGCCTTACCTACAACTGCTACATGCACAGATAGCCAGCATATGCTATCATTATATTAAATATATAGTTTAATAAATATTATCAGGTACATTAATTTTGTGAAACAAATTGGTGAGTCTGCTTTCTTATTTCCACACAATCAGAATGAAATTCTTTGTAGTAAGAAGTGTTTAGTGAGAAGACATTAATGTGTTTTGAATGTCTTTTAACAGAAGAATTCCCACGAGCCTAAAGGTGTGCCACAGGGTATCTCTATGTCTACCTTAGCCTCCGTAGTACTCAGAAGAGGTAATAGATCATGCGTTTTCAAAAGTTTTGCTAGCAGAAACTGGTGTGGTTTATAGATTCCCTCTAATATTCAGGACTTTCCTACAAAGCAGTTACTAAAGGGAGGAATTTCTTTATTTAGTTGTATTTAGTTATATTTGACTTAATATTCAGTAAGTCAGCTGTTAAAACACTCAGAGGTTAGTTTTTTCCCCTGGCTAAATGGAGTCTCTTCCTCCAAATAAGTGGATTTGACCCTACCCTCCATCAAAGTCCAAGGTAAATGTTTTAGAAAGAGACTTTTCCTGTGTGTTATCAGAAGTGATCTCTTGGGTCTTTTGGATCATATTCTGAAGAATATAAAATCAGACTTATTGGGTTACATGTTGATCTCTCTCAGCATCTTTTCTTGAACAATATTTGGTAGTGAATAACTAGGGAAAAAAGGGAAATTACAAAACAGGGAAACATAGAGTGATACTTCCCCAGCATACTCTGTGGGGATGAGGAAATGTGTGACTCAGATATTTTCTGAGTTTGATTTGGTCCCTATGTAATAGCCCTGACTTTTTCCCATTAATTTATTCTCACTCCTCCTGCATTATTCCTGATGTGTAGTTATAAAAGCACACTTTTTGAAAATATAGTCATATGTCTTTCATTCACCTAACCATATGTTTGATTTTTTATTACATTTTCTTCATTACATAATAGTGTTGGGTTTTATTAATTATAAGTCTCACTTCTAAAACTGTTTGGGATTTCAGATGAAATGAAACAAGACTTATATATAAAGACAGTAATTAAACAAAATTATAGTAAACTGCTCACAGTCCAAGCTGATTACAGCCCTTGAAATTAAGAAAATAGATGTAGTGTGGGTGGGATACAATAGATGCATAATTACTGTATATATGGCCATAATAGACTTACAGAAATAGTAGTGGGCTTTAGTAGAGAATGCAGCTCCAAAACACATTTTCCAAGTGTTCCAGACAAAAACAATGCAACTAATATGGTAAGTTTGGTTTTCTCATGTGGACAATTTGTCCAAATTATTTATACATTATGTTTATTGTCTGCAGAATATGATCTGGAGCCATGTGATGATCCTGGTGTTCCTGCCTTCAGCAGACGAGTTGGTTTTCATTTTGGTGTTGGAGATTCCTTGATATTTTCTTGTTTCCCTGGATATCGCCTGGAAGGTGCTAATAAACTTACCTGCCTGGGAGGTGGTCGGCGTGTATGGAGTGCACCTCTGCCAAGGTGTGTGGGTAGGTGGTCACATGCTTTCATTTCATTCATCAAATCGTTGATAGCACATGGCATGTGTCAGAATACTGGGCAGAGAAAAAAGAGCTTGGGTTGAAAGAACTGATCCCCGAGCTGTAAAAACTTTAAAGTCAGTGTAAAGTATAAGTAATGCATGTGTCTTTTACTTAGAGAACTTAGAGAAAATAAGGAGGAATGATTAGAATTGTGCTAGAAAATAAGATCAAAATGTCATGTAAGAGAAAATATAAAACTAATTATTAAGCTGTATGACACAGTTAAGTTATAAATTTCATACTTTGTCTTTCAGGGTAGAGAAACAATGCTTAGGTGAAAATACCCTGCTTTAGAGCCCCTCAGTTGGCTTTAAAGGTTTTTTTTTTTTTCATATTGAGTTCGTATTCTTGTAACTCTAAACTTTTGGAATTTTTACAGTTTATACATTGCATTACAGCATTCTAAACTGCATTTAAAAAAAATTAACCTGCTGTCCTTAAAAACTCGTAACTATAAGATCAAACTGAGTGAACAGTTCTTTTTTGGGAAAAGCTCTGGTACTGTATTTTGTAAAATTCGTACAGTTATTATATTTGATTTGTGAGATGGTTTTATCACCACCATGTCAATTGAATCTCATCAGCTCCTATGGACATAATGTTTCTGAAATGTCAAATAGTTCCATACACCTCTATATGGATTTCTTTAAAGGGTTCTTGTTTTAAATAAGATTTTATTTCATGAAGGGAGAAACTCAGCTTCAGCTTTTTTCTTTTGTTTGTTTTATTGGGAAAGATCTTTATATCTGAAAAAGTCACCTACATTGTATATACACGTAAGATACATGGAAAAAATAAATTATCTCAAATTTTGTGTTTAAAGACTGGAGTTATTCAACATGTGCTGAAAGGAAGTTACAACTGAGAGAGAAACCAAAATCATATGGAATTTGCCATTCATCTGGAAATTCTAGATTTAAGTTTTAGGCTATACTCAGGGCTATATTCAGGGCTATATCAGCCCTGGGATATTGGCCTGGTTTGGGTTATTTGGGTTTCTCTCCTTCTGGAGAGCTTGTCTGTGTTCCATTCAAACACATTTAATTTAATTTAAATGTCATAAAATTGTATTCATCTGCAGAAATACTGTTATCTTGCCCTGAAGAAAGGAGTAATTTTATATGATGGTCAAGTATGTTTTATTTTGTAAATGTTGTTATCTTTTCAAAAGCCTTTCTTACATTATCTACAGTAATAAGAGATTCATATCTAGTATCTTGAAGATGCTTATTTATTTATCCTCATTATGTGAATGACACATTGTAAAGTAGCAAAACTTACCAAAGTATCAATAGTGAGCTTAATAAAGTATCAAACATTGAATGTCATGAATTTTTAAGACTAATGTAAGCACTTATTGTGACAGACACAGAAATGCCTATATATTGTCCCATGTATAATTTAGTGACACATAACTAGTTGTGCATATATGTGATAAATCTGTAATTCATATAGAAATGTAATTTATTTTGGAATTTATTTGATTTTATTATGTTAACTTTTGCATACGTTTATTGACTGGCCCTGAGACTTCAGTCACTAAACCCATGTAAAAGACCTCTATTTCTAAATGATTAGTAAAATCTTTTATAAATTATGCATAGACAAGTGGCACTTCTCTAAAATAAGATAATCTAAATAACTCTTTTAACTCAACATATGAAGAAAATTTGGTCTTTTGTTGTGTAGCAAACTAAATATATCTATAATGCAACTAAAACAAATACGAGGAAAGAAACTTTGCTAAGCCACTGAAGAAACTGAGGGGAAAGGACACAGTGCCATTCAAGCTGCTTTAATAAGTGATTTTTTCTTTAACACTAAGAAGGTATTACAAAGGTCTCTTTTCCTGTCACCATGGCACCTAAGACATTAGGGGTGAAGATATCCTCTCACCCTGAAAAGGAGTTCACACAAAGACTACTTTTTTTCACAGAAGAGTGAAAAGAAACAACTTGTCCTGAAATCTGCTGGCTTTGGAGTGTACATTCAAAAGTTAAATCTACTCTGGACTCAGTGTCACAAACACATAAGTACATTACTGGGCTCAATAGCCTCTTGATTATTTCTTCTTCATTATCATTTCTACACTGACCAAACTCATACATAATGTATACACACCAACCTTTATGTATCAACAAGGATTTTTCAGTCCTTCTATGATACATGGTAATATATTCTTTCATGAGTAATGTTTTAATCAGATTCAGAATGCAAGCCCTTTAAATTTAATTGCATTTAATTCGTAAACTACGCATTCGCACAAGCACATTCTGATTTGTATCAGAGAAGTTGTATTCCGTTTTATCTGCTGATGAAAAGGCAACAAATTAACAGTGTTTCCAAAGGTATTGCCCTTCTCTGTCAAAGTAAATCATTTCAAGTCCTTCCTCTAGGGTTATCTCCAACATGCTTTGCAACTTTCCTGGTCAGAGAACTATTTGTACCTTTTCACCATTTCTTCTTCTTTGAAGAGTTACTTTCTGGGAAAGGGAAAAGCAGAGCTTGGGACATCTGGTTGTCCTAACATCATGATGCTGGGATTTTTGTTTTAAGACTTTGAGTCCCATATTAACAACATTATCATAATTTTCAGTGGTTGGGAAGGTAGATGACATTTCCCTGGACTTTAAAGGTCTTTATCTGATTTCCTGGAGGTTGGTTGGCTCTTGCAGTAAGACAGCATCCCCTCTTTTGCAGTAAGGACTCTCCTCATTACAACAAAAAGACACCACCAAGTCTACTTGCAAAATCAGATTCATGTTCATAAACAGGTGGTCTTGTAAATCTTATTTCCCTGTGTCAGCCCTTCACTCTCTTGTCTTTTCAATTAGAATAATTTTGTGTATCTCAGCTATGTACTTCAAGTTGTTATGCAGTATTATTCTACTTCATCCCAGAGTTTTGAAGACTCTACCTAGTTTCCCTTTGAGTAGCCACTCCATTGCTAAATGCATCCTCAATTCAGATCTCTCCCTTGACTAGAAAGTGATTTGTGTCTACAGCCATTTGCTTGCTACTATTTGGTGAAAAATGTTTAATATTAAAAGTGTAGAGAAGATCTAGGCTCTTAGAGCTGACTCCATTTTACACTTTTTGAAGAATGGATATGCTCATTACTCAAAGTGGTGTCAAATTTCCCCCATCTCAGAAGATTAAACTTTTTCTTCCTTTTCTTCCTTAAAGCTTTGCTTCTCCTATGGAAGCAAATCCCTTTACCTGTCTGGTGAATTCTCTTTATGCATTGACATGATGTGGCTTCTGAGGAAGATCCCTTCCCTCTACCTCTTTATACAAACTGTAGGAAGACTGGGACTGCCAATCTCAGAGAGAATTTCTTGTTCTTGAATTGTTTAAAAGAATGGTAGCAAGGTCATCCATAAAGAAATCTCATTTCCTGTAAGAGCTTCCTCAAAGCACTCAAGTAACAATGATGGTTTCCCTGACAAATGTGTCAGTAGTTGGTAACTGCAGATTACACTGAAGAGACACTTCAAGCTCTTTTCACACAAGAGTATTGTTTCTCAGCTTTATAGACACAGTAGTTGCATTTGGGAGAACTATCTCACAATTTTTACTGAGCTAGTGGCTGGCTCCAGCACATATGCTACAATAAGGCTTTTCTGCAGTTACCCACTGTATAAACAAATAGACAGTCTTCTGTGAAAAAAAAACTCTGCATGTCTACCTATATGCAGCTGTTCTTTGAGATATGTTGTGTGAATGTACATTCAGAGTGTTCCCTTTTACCCCTCTACTCAAAATTTACTGCAACTGAGAGGAATGTGACATTAATGAGAACTCCACTACTTTGCTATTTGTGTGATGGAGAGAATTAATCGAGGTATGAGCTCATGTCTACAGATAGTGTCAAGGGAAAAAAATATCTTCCCAGCAATCCTGACACAGGGCTACGTGGAAAATAAACATGCATATTGTCTTTGTAGAGGAAATGTCACTAATCCATGTCTTTAGATTTGAGACTACTGATTTAAGCATCTGGCTTTTACTGTTCTGAAACAGCTAGTCACCTATAAGGTTGCTTTATAAAATATTACCATCTGGTATATTACTGTAATTGGTATGTTTCTCTATATTTGTAGGTTTAATTTTCCAGACCTACTTCTGAATAATTTAATTATAATTTCAATTACTTATGTGGAGGGTAAAAACCCATCTACTGGAGTACAGAAAAGCTTCTCCTCGTTATCTTTTGTCTAGTTGGGATTTGTAAACAGAAAACAGATTTGGTCCCCTTCATTTGTTTATATCTTATCCATTGTTATTATTCATTGTTTTGTTTTTATTGGTGCAATTATTATTCCAGTATTTTCCAGAGGAAAAAAGAAAAAAACCCCCAACATATGTGTTTCATGGTTGTGATGGTTACTGACACTAACTCCACATGCATGATTTATTCCCATTGCATAGCTTGCTTTTACATAGTTGCAAATGTATATATAACTTTATACTTATTTCATTTCTGTGAAGGCAAAATTGTCAAAGAGTGTGGATGCACATTCTTCTCACTTTTTTCTTCCAGCAATGTTTTTTTTTCTCTACCTATAATTAAAGAGTTCTATTACAGTTTCATTTACATTTCACAGTTGACTACTTTTTCCTGAGGACAAAACCCAGCTTTTAGTGAGTTAGTTCCCCTAGAGTACAGATCCAAGCGTAAAGCTGCTAGGCAGTCACGCACTTCTGAATATCCACAAAGCTGTGTGAATCTCAGGAGCTTGGTGAATGGTGGAGTTCAGAAATTAGGTGGAACAACTTTGTCTTTTAAGTACCTGATTCTGAGGCTACTGTTCTCCTACAGGAGAACACAATCATGTTTCGACTGCTTATTGCCATCACTAATCTTTTAAATAGAATCCACACACCATTTCTGGGAAATCTGTTACTGAGGCAGATTTCCTAAAACTTATCCAGCAAACTATGCT